CCGCTGTTCTCCACTCAGGATGTCCTTATACTTATCTAAGATTCAGAGTCTCAGAACAGTGGCTGCACTGGAAGACTGCGCTCACCAGTTGGACTTACTGGGACATTCCCTGTCGGTGCAGATCAGCAGGGAGCGAGGCTCCACATCCACACAGGTCCTTCCACTGTTTCACACCCCAACGGGAAACCAGGGCGGGTCCTAGCGTCTTTAGTGTCCTGGGCCAACATGCTCCATGCAGCATAGATTATCATGTAGCTACCATCATAGACACACTCAAGATTTCTTTTACTTTTTTTTCTTTAAAAAAAAATAGTGAAAGTAACTAGAGTAATACTATAAACACATGAAGCAAGGCACAAACATACTATATGCCATGCAGTTAAAATTAAACAATACTAATACAAAAGATTTATACAGTTAAAAACAACAGCACCCAATAGTTAAACATTTGCAAAATCATGCGCACTAGAGATGCATTTTAATATGGACTGCAAAACTGTCGACTAAAATCTACATTTTTAAAAGTAAGACAGTTACTTTGAAACACAAATTCAATTGCACAACTGTCATAAAAATGTCCTACCCTTTGTTAGATAACTATTTTTCAAACAAGAAATAGCCCAGCCAGCATGCCTAGGTGGGCCCCATGTGGGGACAAGGAGGGCAGACTATATGGGTCCCATATGGGTTTGTCCGCGGGTTCCACGATGGCCCCACATGGGTTTGCCCATGTAGGGCCACAGCCCACATGGGCCCTGCATGGGCCCTAGCTGCAGATTCAGCTGCACACTGTTTAGTAATGTAGCAGCTCATGCCGCCCTACAGGAGAGGCAGCCCTGGGCAACTGCCCACATCGCCCATGCCAGAAACCGTTTCTGCAGAAACAGCTGGGTGTTGCTCTGATCTGTCCATTATTTCAGTTCCATCATGATGGTGATTACTATCACCTTTCAGCTAAATAGTTTATGATGCTCTCTTGATTTCTTTTTCCTCCTTAGTGTTTGGAAATATTTCCTGAGTGAAAAATATCTCCTTACGTATGTTTCTTTATGCCCATGTTTAGGAGAAAGACAGGCTGGTACAGCTCAAAGCAGATTGGTGAGTAATTATCAGAACAATAAAAGCTAGAAGTATGCTGCATCAGGTCTTCTCCCCCTCCCTTTAAATATGTTTTGTTTGTGTCTGCAGTCAGTTCATCTGCCATCATGTCACCAAGCTGTGCTTTGAGCTGGAGGACACCCAGAGTTTTGAGTCAATTCCACAGGCTATGGAGGAGGATGAGGCACAGAAAGCAGCCAGGAAGAAAAGGTTCAATACTGCCAGTTTTTCTACTAACAAATGTTTTATTTCTTTTAAACTTATGTAGTGTATTTCCCCACCCAGAGAGGAAGAAAAAATGCGGAAAGAGAGAGAACAGGCTCTGCTGATACAACAACAGGAAATCGAGGACAAAAAGGATCAGATCCACGTGAGAGATTAGCAGTGTTAACGTGTGCTCACTGGTCCAGTTATTATTTGTGCTTTTCCTAGAAGAAAAACCACTAGAGCAGAAAACTGCCTTAGTTCTCCATTATGTGTTTGTTAAATCTTTCACCGTGTCATGACAGAATAATATGAGACAGATAATCTGCAAAAAAAGTCGAGCTCCTCTGCCTTCTCTCAGTGCTAACTACAGAAACACACAGCTCCGCCAAAAAAAGCCAATCAGAGCCAGAAGGAGGGTCTTATCGCCATCAGTCATGCTTATGTATGCGCCACTCACACTCTCCCCCGTGCTCTCTGCTATGCAAGTGACTTCATGCCTAGTTAGCATGGCTGCCGGTAACAGTGGATAAACAGTTTTCCTGTAATGCTAAGTTGTTTGTCCTCCATTAGTACACTGAGCAACACGTACCTGAGATTGATTGACAGCGGTAAGACCCTCCTCCTGGTTTTGACTGTTTTTATTTGACTGGAAGTGGTGCGTTTCTTCAGAGAGCAGTAGTAACACTGAAAGGAAGTGGAGGAACTCAAATTTTTCAGATTATCTGACTCATTATGCTAAAATATAGTGACAGTTTTAACAAATATATGAAAAAAAAACATACTGAACCTTTAATGCAGTATGTTATATATGGCATCAATTTGGACAGATTGATGGCATATTTTCTTTTGCACCAATTCCACATCATCTGCCTCATCTGTAAAAACACTTGATATTTTCACTTCCTCTGACTGTTTTCTGGTTGTGTGTGAAAATCTCAGTTTGTGAAATACTAAGAGCAGCACATATGGCATCAACAGTCATTTTACATTCAAAGTCATCTATTTTCCCTGTTCTGCATGTGATTATTTAATTTGCAATTTGTGTTGAAAAGCAGTCTACGTAATACGAGGGTGAGTGTTAGTGTTAGTGTTAGTGTTAGTGTTAGTGAGTGTTAAACCGAAGAAAATACCTCCCAGTACTCTCAGCTCTTCCAATAACTTTTCCCGCACAGAAAATGTACCTTCTTTTGAATGAACTGGAAGGCGAAAGATCCAAACTGCAGAAAAAAAAGAAGTCAAAAACCACAATCCTGTCCACACAAATGGCCAAAGAGTCATGGCGGAAGGCTCAGCTGATGGACCAGCTGGAGGTACATCAATCTCCAAGTCTTTCTTTCACATCATCCCAATCTCCCAGAGATTCATGCCAGTACTTCCTCCTCCGTCAAATAGAACTTCACCCCTTCATAGTTTTGTTCGCCTTTGTTCTCAGCTTCTGCAGAAGCAGATGGAAGAAGAGGCGAGATTTCACGAGGAGACTGTGAAGTTCCTCCAGACTCAATACGAGGTTGGTAACGTAACGTCATGAACGGGATGTAAATGTAGAGCGCAGGGTTAATTTAACTGCTGTGCAATTCATATGTGGTTCATTCAAAATCTAGTTGAGGTTTGCAAAAAGCTGTTACAGGAGCAAGAACTCCAGGGGTTCTTTAACCTTTCACATATGGGTACTGGAACTTAAAGCTAACAACTGGGAATCAAGTTTGGATATCATTAAAGGGGCAGAATAATAAGTGCATCAACTATGTTGACTTAAGTTATAAAAATGCATCAAATATCACTTAAAAGAAATTTTCCTTCATAGCTTATCACCTTGAAATTGGGCCTCTGTCTCTTTAAAAACTCTTGTTATTTCTGAAGCTCCACCTTCAGGAAGTCATCACAAAGTCGCTCCTCTCTTAACCTTTTAACAACATTTTTACCAGTGTTGCACTGAGAAACAGCTTCTATTGAGCTCAGCTGATGCGCAGTGTCACCAGGTGTCTGCTAGTTGCTGCTGGCTAGTCTGAAGGAGCTGAGTTGGGGAGTACGGGTAGGGGGGCTGCTCTGTGAGGCGGAAACTTGAGGTAAAGCTCAAAAAAGTCAACTTTACATAATACTTCCTGAAGCATTTACGTGTGTCGAACATTGGTGCAAATGTTTTGCCACAGCATATTTTTTATTCTCCAGTTTTAAAAAATCCTGTTTGAAGCTACTGTAACTTTCTTCTGTTGCGTACACAGAATTATGAATTAGTATGAACCAAGGAATAGTTGCTGTGGACGGCTAATTATGTTTCTGAAAACGAGACTAAGAGGGATATTCAAACAAAACAAAGACATGAATTCATGTATATGATTTGATGAATCATACATAATCATGTATATGATTCATCAAATCACTTAGTAGTAGAACACTACCAAGTGTGTCCTGCAGAACTAAGTGTTCTGCTACTAATATTAGTACTCTAGTATTAGTAGAGTACTACTAATAATAGTAGTCCTCTATTAGTAGAGTAGTACTAATAATAGTAATACTATACTAAAATTAGTAGTCTTAATATAGAAGACTGCTACTATATTATCATACACATGACATAATTCTATGTTTCTGATTAGGAGTTTCAACAGAGGCTGCACAAGTGGAAGCAGCAAACCAAGAAGATGCAGCAGGAAAAGCAGAGCAAGCTGGATAACCTGGGCTGCAAAAGAACTTTGAACACAGACAAGCTGATGGAGATGAGGAGGATGGTGAGCAGCAGCACTTGTACCATACAGCTCACTTTTAAATCATATCACGAATTATTGTTGCTTTTAGTTTAAGGAGATGGAGCGGGTGGTGCTGGAGGACAAGAAGGAGCAAGAGTTGAAACGCCAACAGGAGGAGGAAGCTAAAGCCGCCACAACGGTAACGACGGCCAACCGGAACACCGACTGTAAACGGACGGAGTCGTCTCAGTGTGCTGATGTTCTCGTTGTGATCTGTGCAGATCCAGGCCTACTGGAGGGGCACCATGGTCCGCAGAGGCCTCGGCCCCTTCAAGAAGGTAGAGGAGAAGAAAGGCAAGAAAGGCAAGAAAGGGAAGAAGAAGAAGTGACTTTTATTTTCTTCCGACACCATGTTTGCAAGTTAAGCAAAAAGAAAAAAAAATTTGGACAAAAATATGTAAACTATACATGTCTTTATTGTAAAAAAGAGTATTACAAAATATTACAAATGTTTTTAAAAATGAATCAAACAGGCAAACTGATCAGAAGCGGAGTGTCAAATGAAACCATACAAGTAAATTACATTTTTCCATTTTGCACATTTACAAGGTTTCCCCTGAGGGAAAAATGAGTCAGAAATGTCATTAAATTAAATATATATATATATATTAAAAAATACTTTGAACAATAAATAACACTGGCAAGTTTACTCTTAATGACCATAGGCCTTACACTTTATAACAACCCATTATCTGGACAGGATTTTTAATACAAACTTGATAACTGACACACATATATACAGTAAGCCAATAAAATAAATCAACAATCCACCACATAAAACTGAGTCAGCAGAAGTTCGGCACAGTAAAAATTCCCCTTCTTTAAGTCAGGGAAGCAGAAGCTCCAGCATTGCACAACGCCCAACGCTTCCGAGGAGGACCACAGTTAGAGAACCTTTAAGAGTGCTTTCGTTTCTACTAGATTGTTTTTTCTTTTCTTTCTTTTTTTTTTTTAACAGCACCCCTGTTTGACATGTTCACGAGTCATGGGACAAACAAACCAGCAGTGATGTCAGTGAGACTGCTTGAAGTCCCTTCCTGCCTTTAGTGTGAGAGGCTTCAGATGTCTCTGGGACGAACTGCTTTTAGTCGAGCAGTTCGTCCTGTTGAACGTGCATGTAGTTGTTGTCTCCCACGATGACGTTGCTGAGGCACGAGCCGTGGATGATGATGTTCTGGTGCTGCGCGAGTGGATGAGGAGGCTCTGAAGGCGCGGCCTGTGCCGCCTCCTGCAGGCTTTGGCAGCAACTGCAGCTCACCTCAACTGTAACATGAGCAGGAACGCAAGGTGAGGGGGTGCGATGTGTTCAGGTGCTAAAAAAAAAAAAAAACCCCTCAAGATGCACGAGTGTGAGCTGCAGTTGTTACCCACCTGCTTTCTGCAGCTGAGAGCCCTCCAACAGAGGCCGCCGCTCACCCGCTGCGGAGGGGTGGGAATCCCCGATGACGCAGTTGATCATGGTGGAGTTGCTGATGTTAATGATCAGAACGGTAGGAGGCGGGCTCGTGAGTCGATCTGTCAGTGGAGGTAGTGAAAAGCGAAAGAACATTGAAATAGGAAGTAGATCTTTTCCAGAGTGACGCCACAGCGGAATTACATCATTATTTACTGAAGAAAAAAACTTTTTTTGCGTCCAACAGCTGCTTTACTTTGACATAATCCACATATAAGCCTATTAGATTTATGTTCAAATACAAATAAAACAATGTATGTATATATATATATATATATATATATATATATATATATATATATATATATATATATATATATATATATATATATAAGTCTTAATGTGAATTATTTTATAGCACAACAGTAAGAACAGAGGCTGAATAATAAAAACCCTGGTTACCTTGTGCGTTTTTCTCCTCCCTGAGATGAAGAGTCTTATCTGTCAACAGTAGTGAAGCAGATGTTGATTGTGAACTTTTCGGCCTCCACGTCGCCATATAAATATTTCTACTTAAATAAATTATTTACCTGAGGAACCTTTCCTCTTTTCAACAGCAGGGAGGCAGAAGAACTGGCAGGCTTTGCTGCAGCTTCTCACAGCCACAGCCTGCATCACTTGGAAGAGTCTCTGCATGCTGAACCCTTTAAACGTCATAACCTGTAGCAGGGAGCAACAAATAAATATGAGTTTCTAACATAAGGCCTTTGAAACAAAGGTAAAGCAGTCAAATGAGTTTCTAAGTCTCGTGCTTGCTCCTAAACTTCAAGTCGCGCGACGGGGATTCCCCGCACTCCCTCCAAACCCCTCTACCTTCACTGGAAACTATCATAGAAAATCGCTGTAAAGTTATAGATAGAAGCCAAACTACATTTTTAGAATCGTTTGTACTTTGAGAACGTATCTCTTTTAGTCGACAACGTGACTTTTATGCTGTTAATGAAAAGGAAGGCATATTAAGAGTCCGTGACGCTGCCGTAACCTTACCTGAGTTGTCGATGCTCTTTCTATTATTTTAGTCAGATTATTGTCAGCCGCGGAATTCGGGTTCTGCTGGCCGGGGCTACCCATGACTGCGGTGGTTCTGATAAAATAATCCCTAAAAGAGGCAATCGCTTTCTTATATAGTAAAAAATCCCAGCGCATGCGCGCTCTGACTTGCGGTTTACGTCAGGTGATTTACAGTCAAACTGCTCTTCAACACAAATACAGGCACGGACTGAGGAGAAGCTCTCGTGTTAGATTGCATCATGCTCTTTGTGTTTAGTTCCTATTGTAGATGAGTGCATTAGCGCCAAATGAGGTCTGAGGTCCTTTTGTTGTCGCACATGTTGAATAAAAAAACGTGCCATGGTTTTATTTTTCTTTGTACCTTTTATCAAATACTTTCTTTGCGCTGTTTTCGTCTGATGCAAGTTTCAAACCTGCATATTGTTTGAGAACACAGTATAACAAAAAGCACACCAATGAAGGTTATTTAACCCACAACCTGTATTGTAATTGTATAATGCATGTTTTTTTTAATATATATTATTATTATTATTATTATTATTATTATTATTATTATTATTGCTATCATGCCATTCCCCAACAGAAATAGGTTGTTGAGAACATTTCAAAAACCATTTCCTTGTATCAGACACAGAGCTGGGGTATAAAAGTTGAAGGGGAAGTTGTAGTGTTGGGGGTTGCACTTCAAGCTGTCATTTCTGGGAAAGATCAGTGTCATAAACAACATGACTCGGTTGAACTTTGTTTTCTTCAGAGCAATCTCCTTTGCCTTAACAACATGCTATATATACTATACACTCAAATGCCATTTTATTGGGTACACTTAGAAGAATTACGTACCTCACATATCCCCTTTCACAACTTTCTCTTTTGTTTACCGTAGAGATTCACCGAGGATTAAAAAAGATTCCCACAACATAGTGATTCCTGCTGACTTGACAACATCTTGGATTTGTTGCCTGCACATCCATGATGCGAATATACTGTTCGATCACATCCCAAAGGTGCTATTTTGGATCGAGGTCTGTTGACTGTGTAGGTCATTGGAGTACAGAGCTCATTGTCATGTTCAAAAACCCAGTTTTAGATGATTTAAGCTGTGTGATGTGGTAGGAGACAAGACAAGAAAATTGCTTTAAAGTATGCTGGTTGTAGCCATTGGAAGATTTACGTAACTGTGGTGTGCAAACAATGGTAATTTGGTCTCTAACACACCATCTCACTAACAACATGAATTGTAGATACAAGGCATGATGTATGCACACTTTCATGTTGCTTACACCTAATTCTGACCCTACGATTTGAATGTTGCAGCAGAAGTCAAGACTTATTGGACTTTGTTTCAATCTGTTGAGGCCTCTGTTTTCTGTTCTTTGCTGAGAACAGAGGCAGCCAGTTTGAGCTTCTGCTTCTCTAGCTTGACTGATTAATCAGACAAGTTGTCCTTTCAGTAATAGCTTTCCACACTATGGTTTTGATGAGGAGTTATGTGAGCTATGACTGCCTTTCAGTAATTTTCTCCTCTGAAATTTGGCCAAGCAAGTTCAACCCACTGGATATTTTCTCTTTTTTAGACCATTCTTTGCAAGTGCAACTCATTAAGTTGCTTCCAAATGTATAATATAATTTAAGAGAGGAAACGATTTGCATCATGTAGTTAGATCACTTATTTATTTGGGCTCATGTCATTGTTTGTCCGATTTGGAGTGCCTTTTTTAAATGTCCATCACTCACTCCTGGTCCTCCTCCCACACTCACTCTAGCATTTATAGCTTGTGTGGAGCCAAACTCTGCACAAATTCTGTTGTGGCATTTCATTCTCGCACTTGTTACAGCCTGACTAGTGGACTGTAACAAAGTGAGGGACTGTAACAAACTTGTGTTAAAATATTAACACAAGGTGGTAATATTTTAAGAAAATAATTTATTTAAATAAACAATTATCAGTAATTTTAGAATGCCTGGATGTGTGGAAATGTATATGGTGCAAAAAACTCAGACATAACAAAAAACCAAACACTGTGGTGTTTGGCTCCCACCGAACAGAGAAGTCACCTTGAAGGTTAGATGGGTGCAACGGTGACCAGGAGAAACTCGTGCTTCTGTTGACAGGTTCCAACAGAAGCAAAAAGTGATAGGATTATGGCTCTTGTGTGTTGAAATGCCTGAAAGACAAAAACAAAAAGAGACCCTTAGTGGTGGAGTAATCACCACCCCTCTCTTAAAGAAATGGATTCCACTAAGAATCCAGTTAAGACTACAAACTTAATACTTGTGACATTAAATCGTGGAAATACTTTGTTGGAAATTGGCATGCTCGCCAATTTAGATATCCTAATTCAACGCTCCAGTCCTAAGCTACAAGCCAACACTTATTGGTATTATATCTAGAGAAAACACTTTAAGGTAACAAATAGGGCAAGAGAGCTTTGATCAATGGGCACAAAGTGACAACACACCCTAAGAGCAAGAGGCTCTTGACAAGCCATATTCCCTGTGTTTTTCAGAACTTTTTATGTGGCGAATACCTGAAAAACAAAAACCACTGCATCTTTCAGTGATTAAGACAATGCAGCAAGTTCCAAAAAGTGATAGGATTATGGCTCTTGTGTGTTGAAATGCCTTGGCAATAGTAAATGCTTCATTTTTAATGACAGAATAGTATCACTATGCAAGTTAAACTTCATGGAGAAGAAACTCACAGGATGTTGAACATCATTCCCATCATATTGTAGCAGCATACCAGCAGTGACAACATAAATACATTGTTTTAATGTATTCAAAAGCCTCTTGACAATAAGTTGACTACATAAACTGAACCTTTGTTTTTAAAAGTTCAATCAAGGAAGCAACTAAAATTGAGAAGTTTGGACAGAAACTGCGGTAGTAACCCACTGGGCAGGAAACGCGTAAGTTCCCTTTAGTTTGTTGACATTGTTCAATAACAAAAAAGATTAGTTTGAACTGGCTGCACACATCCTTGCTTAACTACTTTCCCTAAGTAAGTGACAGTTTCCTTAGCAAACTCACATCTAACCAAATGGTCTGATATGCATCTCTCAGGCCATCAAACAGTTTCTTGGTCCTACCAACATGGCAAGTGTTGCTGTATACCATGCAGATATGCAACCACACCATCCAGATAAGACACCACCTTGTTCATGCAGCAGGAGCACTCCTAACCCAAAACTCAGAACAGTATTACCCTCCGAAGAGAATAATAGAAGCAAAGATTTCCTTTGCTCCATGAGTTAGGGGAACTTGTCAGCAGTGGCAGCTCCAGAAATCCTTATCTGCAGATGCTAAGAGCAATATACTGAAGATGATCTGACGGTATGAAGGATCATTGTTATTACAGTTCTGAACATACAGAACAACTCAGAACCCCGACATCTACAACAGTCACCAATAAAGTGGATAGTGAATATGTGGTATTCTGCTATTTAACTAAAATATATGGCAGGACAATATGGCTGAAAAACTCATCCCAATGTAAGCATGTCACATGAGAGTCGATATAGATAATTATTGAATAGTTTTTTGTTTTAAATATCTGGAATGCTGCCAAACGGATGATCTGACCTTTTTTGTTTTATCCACAGTTGTCTCCTGGAAATTTGGGCTGTAGAAAACGATCCATATTCACATTATGGGTGCCTTTCAGATGTTTTCTGGAAATGAAAATAGGCATACAAGTTCATTTCCTGTTGCAAGATGGGAGGATTTTTTTTTTTACTCAATATATAATCATTGATTGTTGTTTTTTTTAATCAGTTGTATTTAGCAAGGAAAATATCACAGCAACCACATATTAAAGAATATTAACTTAGATAAAAAAAAAATAATTTGATATTTTCTTCAGGGTTCTATGGAAGTGCTATGGATTTTCCAGGGGGAGCTATAGGACTCCTAACGGCCCACTAGGTCAGATATTGAGCAGAGGCCGTTTTGTCAACACAGTCTGCAATGAGAGGTAGCGGAACAGCATGTGGCTTGGTAAGAGCATTAACTTGGCAGTAATCTGTAATCAGCAGTGCTGTATTCAAGGATATATTTATTTCACTCTTTATTACCTTGTGTTTTTCTGCACAATCTCTAAAACATTGGCAAAATGAGGTTTGCATCACATACAACATCATGCTCCAAAAGAGTTGTCCTGTTCTACCAAGAAAATACATATACTCCCTAAAACGAATCCTTAAATCTCTTGGCATTCAATGCAAAAAGTATAGAATAGGGGTTATGTGGTGTCGCCTGCTGGAACACGTCAGTAGTTTGGCACTTCTGTGTTTCTTGGACGAATGAAATGGATGATTTATTCAAACCAGTAAACAGGACATTGCAATAGTCTGAATGTGGTGACACAAATACATTGAATTTTCATTTCCATTCAGCTGACTTGAAACCATGTGACACAGTTTAGAAATGTTCCTGAAATGAAAGAAGCAGGAACTTCACAGAGATTTTACATGTGAGTCAAAGCTCAAGAAGAACACGGATTATACACCAGATTGCAAATGACTTAGTCGATGAACAAAAAAAACAAAAAAAAAAAGCAAGAGCCTGACTGAGGTTGTTTATAGTTCGGGGCTATGATCATCGTCTCAGTCTTTTTGGTATTCAAAACAAGGTAATTGCTGGAAAGTCAGTTACTGATCTACTACAAACAATAGAGGATTGGGCAACAAAAGCAACAAAAATGGATCCAGAACTGAAACCTGTGGAGCCCCTCAGGTTATACAAGCAATCTTAGAGGTGAACTTATTTGCCAGAAAAATTCTGGTATGGCAAATATTCATTCTACATAAATATTAGGAAGTAAATAAGTCTAATGCAGAACCAAAGGTAGTAGCTAAAACCCTCAGGCTATTTGTTATGGGCAATTGTATTAAAGGCTGCTCTGAGATCCAGTAAATTTATCGTGGAACAATAACTTTTAATTTGTTTTTGTGGTATATTATACTTTTTATTTTATTGCCATTTGATTTTAATAGTTATTTTATGGGTTTTCTGTACAACATTTTGTATTTCATTTGTTTTCTGTAGAGAAATGCTGTTATCAAGTAAACTGTATTTCCTTCCTTACACATAAGCCACCCATGTCCTCATTTTGCTTTTGCTTTTGCTTTCACGCAAACCATTTTTAGCCAAACTATACTTCACATTTGATTTTGGAAATTTCATGACATATATAAAGGAGT